AAAAGTTTCAATACAGCAGAAGAAACTGGCCCAGTAGGCTTTGCGATTTGGAGCCATATTAGGATTTGCTAGCTGCATTGGGAAAAAGCGGCAATACTATATACCGGAAAACAACCGGAAAACACCGGAAACACCATGTTATACTGAATACCGGAAAACATCGGAAAAATACTAAATACAGGAAAACACACTAAATACCGGAAACACCCTAAATAGGTAACCCAGAGCCTGGTCCTCTGCTTGCGGGGAGTTAGGGTTATGGTTAGGTTTTTTTCGGTGTTTTCCAGAGGACCAGCGGTGGGTTAGGGTTAGGTTTTTCCGGTGTTTTCCAGAGGACCAGACTCCGAGTTACCTATTTAGGTTTTTTTTTCCGATATTTAGTGTGTTTTCCGGTATTTAGTGTTTTTCCGGTGTTTTTCGGTATTCAGTATAACATGGTGTTTTCCGGTAGTTTTTCGGTGTTTTTCGGTTGTTTTCCGGTATATAGTATAGCCCGGAAAAAACTTAGCTGAGTGATACTTGTTTTACTTTCAGGGATTTGTAGGGCGCCCAATCCCAATATTATTGTACTGTTTTAAATTGTAGACTTTATTTTTTTATTCTATTCATTCACCAATGTATTACAATTTTATAATAAAATGTATAAAAATCCGACTTCGAGTTTTGACTAGCATATGAGAGAGAATTTATGGAAAATACGGAGGCTTATATGTATAGTTCACAAGCAGTATCATAATATAGATTTGTGACGAGAAACTAATAAGTAAAATAAATAGGGCCTACTTAATACCCTATAAAGTTTTTTCACAATTGGTTTAAAAATTAGAAGTTTAAGTGGCTGAATTTTTCAATGGGCTGCTAATGTGCTCAAAGGGGGTCTGGTCTGTTCGCGGATATAATGTTGATGACACTCTCTTTATATTATTGATATACACTTGTAACGTCCTCGGATGTAGGTGTGTATGTACTAGATTGTTGGCGTTCATCAAGTCCCCATGTGTCGGTATTGAAACATAATATGTCAAAATATTGTGTATCAGGGTTGTGGACCCTCTGGAGGTCACAATTTTCATCTGATATTGATGAAACTTGACATGCATGTTTATAACCCAATTATCTTGGTTCCTTTCGATTTTCGTACATATCGAATCGTAACTTCATGAATTATGGCCCCTAATTGTACAAAAAATCGCGTTTTTAGCTTGTGGTTCCTCTAGAGGTCACAATTATTATCCGATTTAATTGTACAAAAAAATCGCGTTTTTAGCTTGTGGTTCCTCTAGAGGTCACAATTATTATCCGATTTAAAAAAACCCGTTTGAATATATCACCGTTACACCCTAAGGATGATTGAGTTCGAATTTCGTAGAAATCGGGCCAAAACTGCCGGACAAAATGGCCGCCCCTCGCACGCAAATAGTGTAAACATCTGATAAATCAAGGTCACAATTTTGATCCGATTTGGTAGAAACTTTAAATACATGTTTATAACTCAAAGATATTGGTTCCTTTCGATATTCACTTCCTGAATTATGGCCCGTGATTGAACAAAATATAACGTTTTAGCTTGTGGTCCCTGTAGAGGTCACAATTTTTATCCGATTTAAAAAAAAGTGTGAATATATCACCATTACACACTAAGATCTTGGTTCCTTTTGATAATCGTGGATACCCGAACTTAATTTTCTGGATTATGGCCCCTGATTGTTCGAAAAATCGCATTTTAAGCTTGCGGATTCTCTAGAGGTCACAATTTTTTTAAAAACCGTTTAAATACATCACCATTCCACCATAATAAAGTTTGAATTCGAATTTCGGGGAAATGGCCGTTCTTTGTACGCAAATTGTGTAGAAGTGTATAATACGAAGGTTGTGGACCCTCTAGAGGTCACAATTTTTATCGGATCTCAGTCCCTTTTGATGTTTGCACATTTCAGGCCATAACTTTCTGGATTATTGCCCCTGATTGTACAAAAAATCATGTTTGTTTTTAGCTTGTTCTCTATCCATCTCTTGAAAATGTGGGCGTATCCTGCCTGGCAGCCGCTGGTAAACAGTTATATTGTCTTTATCTCCCATGTGTGGTCAAAGGGGGATGGGAACAGTATGATAGTATAGAGCAGATGACCTCGTTTGGCGGCTTTCCCAACATACACCATGCGTGTCCTCGATTAAGCGTAAATAGCATAGGGACTCGGTCGGTCGTATTTCCTCAATTATTTGCAACATCCTGTGTGTCTGCATTTCTTCTGTAAAACGTCAAATACAGAAAATGTAAGGTGGTATATGCATAGATGCAGCGTAGATAATTAAAATCTCTATTCAAGTTAAACCAACTGTATCTATTTATATTGAAGTCTTACGTCGAGCTGAATAAATTATATGATTTACTATCATTAAAACATCTATTGGCGGTTAACAGTGTGTAGCCTTTATTATTGCCTATGATTTAATGTACCTTGAATTTTCTATCGCATCCAGGTTTTTTAAAGCCTTTGCTCGCAACTGGGGATCTCTCAACCAAGGGATAAGTATAGAGCATAATAGGGTTTTCTTCTAAAAGTTTACTTCTAGAAGTGCCATTTCTATGTTAAAATCAGACCTCGTTGTATCTACCGGCATAATTACTTGCGTGCAATAACCCGGAGAAAAGAGTACTTGCGGCCAAATTACCCACACACCCTACCGGGCCTGAAATTGCTTTGATCCATTTAGTAAGTCGTTTTCTAGAATGATTTTAATTAAAGTGCCTCTCTGATTTTGAAATCGTACTGACGTTTTTTTTTTTTGTTTTTTTTTTTTTGCTGTTTAGTATAATTGTAAGTTTCATCAAAATTGTATAAAACATTCGAACCGCTGAATGGTCTACAACCTGGGTATTAGGGTCATATCTAAATATTAAAGCCACCGGCAGATTTCGTCAAGGTCACGAGATGTAATCAGGACTAGGGCACGTGATTGTTGCCGAGGATTGTGGGTTAGGGTAAGGGCTAGATCTTGGGTTAGGATTGGCGCTATCCATGTTTACATGTCGTGGCCTTACGGAAATCTGTAGGTGGCTTGATATTTAGCTCTAACCTGGGTATTACATGCGTTTAGGGGAGCGATCATTTCGCACCTCGGTTCGATTTTTAGGAACTGTGAACTCAACCGTAATTAAGGTATAAATGTGATATATTCGAACACCTTTTAAATCGGATAAACATTGTAACCTCTAGAGGGACCACAAGCTAAAACGCGATTTTTCGTACAATCAGGGGCCATAATTCAGGAAGTTACAGTCCGATATGCGCGAATATTTTTCGTACATTCAGGGGCCATAATTCGGGAAGTTACGATCTGATATGCGCGCATATCGAAAGGAACCGAGATCTGTTTTGGTTATATACTTATATTTCACGTTTCAACAAAATCAGATAAAAATTGTGACCTCCATAGCTGTCATAGATTTTATGCGATTTAAAAAAAAAGAAACGTTTGAATATATCACTGTTACTGTTAAAAATATGATATATCAAGGTTGTGGACCCTCTAGAGGTCACAATTGTCTTCTGATTTTGATGACACTTGAAATGTAAGTTTATAATCCAAAGTTCTCGGTGCCTTTCAATATCGGATCGTAATTTTCTGAATTATGGCCCCTGATTTTGTTTAGCTTGTTCTCTATCCATCTCTTGCAAAATGTGGGTGTATCCTGCCTGGCAACCGCTGGTTAACAAATGTTTTGGGTATTAAACATTGGGTTCATAAGCGTACGCAGGAGTTACGGTGGCTAAGTGGCTCGCTCGCTAGCCTGGAGGTCGCGGGTTCGCTCCCGTTGCTAGCCGAAAAAGTTCATTTGGATTTTGCGGCGCGATTTCCAGTTGTGAGTGATGCAGGAAGGAGGGCCTGATAAGGAGAGCTGTCTAGTCGTTCGGATAAAACGAAAAATCCGAGGTCCCGTAAACACTTTGGCATACACGTAAAAGATCCATTGACAGTTGCAATTCGATATAAGAGTAGACTGTAGCGCCACTGTCCGGCAAAATTTCCCTCAGCACAATGTATGGCGTATGCCCGTCTTCAATGCCCCAATCAAAGCAGAAGAGTAGGACGTTCATTTCATAAGAGTATGAACCCTGTCGATTATTCAGTGTCCTGTGTTGGTTGTCTAGTGGTGCGCGTGAAACCATGAGGTCTGTCATCGAGTCAAGTGGTGTTGTTTCGATTGACTGCTTGTACATGACAAGGAGTATGGTTGCCTGTCTAACATCGTGGATCTTCACTGGGTCCACCGGTTTCGTCCCACTACTAAATACCCCCACGCGAGAGCGAAGTATTGAAATAAAACTTACCCATGTGTTAGTCCCGAAATGACCTAGTTTGTTTCGCAGTTCTAGGGTTACCACCTCAAGCCCGACTGCATATCGATAAAGATATAGACTACGGTTGTTTTTGTCAACATGCTTTATTTTCAAATTGGGTGTTTGGGTGTACACGGGACCACGTTTGTTCGTCCAATCCAAACTTGACAGCTCTCCTTATCTAGCCCTCTGTCCTGCATCATTGACAAAAACCAGATAATCTTTCTTGACAGCTTTCATTGTCTGGCCCTCCGCCCTGCATCACTGACAAAAAAACAGATGAACTTTCTCGTCCAACACCGGGAGCGAACGAGTGACCTCCAAGCTAGCGAGGTAGCGTCTTAGTCTTACCCACATGAGCTTGTCAACCCAATGGTTAATACCCCAAAACATATATTAAAAAATATTGCTTCTATCGGGTTCACAATTTTGGGGGACTGTGTCTCTGGATCAGAAACGACAATGTTCGTTCTCTCTTTAACCCCAATGCTTCACACGAATATATAAAGAAAAGGACTGGCTTAAAGTGTATCCTCATTCGTGTTCATAAGGTTTTCAGAACAGGGGGAGGAGGAACCCAGGAACCCAGTTCATAGCTGTGGAAAACGACTATCCTCCCGACCCTTTAAATATAATCTATATCCTCTTTAATTCTAGTGCCTGTCTGTGAACCTAACCCTTGTGAAAATGGTGGTACCTGTTCACCAACTGACAATAGTTACAGCTGTAATTGTTCTACTGGATATTTTGGTAAAGTCTGTGACGGTGAGCTACATTTTAGTTATATAGGGTAACCATGGATAACCTTTAGATGTGTACCCGTATCATTCTTGTCTTATAATTTTAGTTATAAAGGATGACCATCGATAACCATTAGATGCATACCCGTAAAATCCTTGTCTTATAATTGGGTACCATTAGATAATCGCCAGGGTTGCATTCAATTAGATTTAAAACAAGATAATGTGTCGCTCGTTTGGGTTTCGTGTGACGTGTGCCATTTGCGCAAAGCACAATGTTGAAAACTGAATGGTTATTTTACCGCCCCTTCACCAGTATAACGTGTTTTGGGGATTACACATTGGGGCATGCCGTATTACATGATATTCATTTGGCTAAACATGACCCAGTAAACGTTTAATATACCTGTAGGAAATTTGTCCGATTAAATGTGTATTTTATAGCTGTGGGAAACGACTATCCTCCCGGCCCTTTATATTATAATCTATATCCTAGGGTTAGTGAATTAATTATTTCGTTTAAACGGATTAATTATTTCGATTAATCGAATTAATTCATATACGATTTGACACGTCGACTAATGACCCAAATGCTCCAAACACCGAATTTGAAGAAAAGAAATAATATGTTAAAAAAAACAATCGTGGTCCCTATCGTTATCGATATGTGGTCGGGCTTGAGGCGGTATCCCTGAAACAGCGACACAAACTAGGTAACTTTTGGATTAACACATGGTTCAATTTTATTTCAATAATTCGCTTGTGCGTAGGGTATTTAGCAGTGGAGGGAAACCGGTGGACCCGGAGAGAACCCACAAGGTTGGACAAGCTACCCTGCTCCTTTTCACGTCAATTGAAACAGCTCCACTTGACTCAATGACAGATCTCGTGTTCACAAGGTTTTCGTAATAGGGACCATGTGAGAGGTGGGACTCTATGAAGCATTGGTGACATAAAGGGATGAACCGGGTTCCCCCTGTTCTGAAAACCTTATGACCACGAATGAGGATACACTTTAAGTCATTTCTTTTCTTCATATATTGGTTCGAAGCATTGGGGTTAATAAGAGAACGAACACTGTCGTTTCTGCTACCTTCCGATCCAGAGACCCAATCCCTCAACATTATCCCATTACGAAAACATTGTGAACCCGACAGAAGCAATAGTTTTTAACAAATGTTTGGGGTATTAACCATTGGGTTCATAAGCGTATGCATGAGTCACGGTGGCTAAGTGGGTAAGACGCTCGCTCGCTAGCCTGGAGGTCGCGGGTTCGTTCCCGGTGCTAGCCGAGAAAGTACATCTGGATTTTGCGGCGTGATTTCCAGTAAACACTTTGGCGTGCACGTAAAAGATCCATTGACAGTTGCAATGTGATATAAGAGTAGGCTGCAGCGCACTGTCCGGCTAAAATTTTCATCATAGCACACTGTATGGCGTATGCCCGTCTTCAATGCCCCAATCAAAGCAGAAGAGTAGGACGTTCATTTCATAAGAGGATGAAACCTGTCAATTTTTCAGTGTTCTGTGTTGGTTGTCTAGTGGTGTGCGTGAAACCATGAGGTCTGTCTGTGAATTTCATTTCGGGGGGTACTGTGACATCACGAACGTTATCAATGTCAAGGACTTTCGGCGAGACGTATTCTTGCTTTCTGTTGATGTCAAGGTCATCTGTGCACAACATAACACTAAAATAATTGCATATTAAAAATCTAGTCCCAAAAATCCCGAGTGTCAAGTTTTTAATTTGGCTGAATATATTTTATAGCTGTGGGAAACGACTGTCCTCCCGGCCCTTTATATTATAATATATATCCTCTTTAATTCTAGTGGCTGTCTGTGAACCTAATCCTTGTGAAAATGGTGGTACCTGTTCACCAATTGACAACAGTTACAGCTGTAATTGTTCTACTGGATATATGGGTAAACTCTGTGACGGTGAGCTACATTTTAGTTATATAGGGTGACCATGGATAACCTTTAGATGTGTACCCGTATCATTCTTGTCTTATAATTGGGTACCATTCTAAGATGGCGTGTAAGGTACATTACTAAACACGTAGTACAGGTTGTAATAGTGATCGTTTCTAAGCCAAGTCATAAGGCGGGTCGCGATGGCTAAGTCGGTAAGACGCTGGCTCGCTAGTCTGGAGGTCTGGTGTTCGATTCCTGAATTGGCCGAGAAATTCCATCCAGATTTTCCGGCATGGTTCCACCTTGTCCCATGTACATATTGGCGTGCACGTAATTAGTTACAGTGATCATCAGTATGTGTTTATATCCATATATAACGTCCAGCTATATTTATAACCATTACCAAATGATTTGATAATATTAATTACCTACGTTATAAAATAAAATAAAACCAAGTACGAACAATCAAAACCATAAGACAATATTCAAAGTCCTAAAGAACGGTATCTGCGAAATAGTGTAATCAGCAAATAGTCGTTAAGTTAGTTGACTGGGGGGTTTCATAAAGATCTGTGGACAGCGAAATTCTAAAGTTATTATTTCTTCAATTTATTAAATATATTAAAATAATATATAATACAAATGTTTAGAGAAATATATTAAATTAATTAATATCTAAAGATTGATATTTATTAATAAATAAAATAAAACCAAGTACGAACAATCCAAACCATTAGACAAAATTCGAAGTCCTAAAAAAACGGTATAGGCAAAATAGTGTAATAAGGCAAAATAGTGTAATCAGCATATGGACTGTTCACCGTGTACAAAATACACGACAAACAGTGGTAACAGGTGTCCGGAAGAGTAAGCTTACCCTGCCTGGCGCCACACCCGCCATAGCTGCATCCAAACTATACTATTCAAAAAAAGTAGGGGATATTTGATTTTGGGGACATAATACTAAAATATGCAAATGACTACGAAAAAAGTCACTATAGAACCTAACAGAAGAAACATTTCCAGTTACATGTGACGCCCAAACGCACCAATAGCTACCGCATGGAATGCAGGTGATGCTTGGGATCATCATGGGGGTCCAACCCAAGATTTGCACGACTCTGACTTTGAATGTTACAGTCATTGTGGCATTGAATTCCAGGGTGGAAACATCAGTTTAATTGTTTTAGTGACCAGAATGAAAGGTTACGTGCCCTTGGCATGCTACAGATCGGCACAACACAGGCGGTTGTGGCGCGGACGATGAATGTTTCTCAGTCTGTCATAAGCAGGCTATGGTCCAGATACCGTGATACACAATCTGTACAGGACAGACCACGCTCAGGTCGACCAAGGGCGACAACTCAAGCCCAGGATCGATTTATCCGTACCTTGGCCTTGAGAAATCGTGTCATCACAGCAAATCAGATCAGCGCTTGTCTTCAAACAGACACTGGTGTGAGAGTGAGTGGCCAGACGATTCGGAATCGACTGCATAGGGGTCACCTTCGCGCCCGACGTTCTCGCGTGATCCCTTGTTTGAGAGATCATCACATTCAGGCAAGACGTCGTTGGTGTAGGGATCGTCAACACTGGGATAATCGACGCTGGAGCAATGTGATGTTTTCAGATGAGTCAAGGTTCACTGTTGATTTTTTGGACAGACGTAGGAGGGTGTGGCGTCGTCGAAACGAGCGCTTCCAAGACGTTAACGTCATCAGACATGATGTATATGGGGGTGGTTCTGTTATGGTGTGGGGAGGCATCACTGTTGCTGGAAGAACGGCTTTACATGTTGTTGCAGGGCGTGTTACAGGCCAGTACTACCGGGACAACATCTTGGCAGTCCATGTTGTGCCGTTCGCACGACGTCATGGCCGCCGTTTCATCTTCCAGGATGACAACGCAAGATGTCACAGGGCCAGGATCGTTACAGGTTACCTCCAACAACAGAACATCACCACATTACCTTGGCCAGCACTGAGTCCCGACCTCTCCCCCATCGAGCATGTCTGGGACATGCTTGGACAGAGGTTACGTCAACGTCAACAACGTCCTGCCAATGTCCAAGAACTTGCTGCTGCGTTGCAACAGGAATGGGACAATCTGGACCAAAATGACCTTAGACGTCTCATTAGGAGTATGCCACGTCGGATCAATGCTTATTTGGCAAACAGAGGAGGATTTACCCGTTACTGACTTGGTTGTGATGCTGTGGTAACTTTGCTGTTTGACCCCGGGTATCATTTTACCCTTATAATGGTCAGTCTGTGCCTTACTTAGTCTAACGATCATTTGGAATAAATCGATGAATGTGAACTTCATTTCATTTTGTCATTTGTTTCTTCGTCAGTTTCATTAGGTAACTTTAATAACACTTAAAAATCAAATATCCCCTACTTTTTTTGAATAGTATATTAGGCGAAATCTCGGTAAAATAGCGTGATTGGCCAATAGACTATCGGTATGCAAAATGCACATATAGATTTTTAGATTATATTATATATAATTTACACATGCACAACTTGCTAATGAAATATAATAATACAAAACAATACAAACCTGACTGTGTAAATGCACTGCTATTTTTATTATAGGTAATCAGTTTATATTAATAACAGGCTATTGCCTACACATGAACATAAACAGTTTATATGGGCGGCTTATCTGATGGCCCCATTTCACTCCCAAAGAGATAAACTGTCAAAAGTGAAAATGGACGTTTTTTGATTTCTGTCTTAATAATGAGTAATTGCTCCACCAATCCTTCCTTGAAGTGTCAAATTTGACAATGAACCCGTCCCACGTGTATGGCGGTTCTGTTGGGGCGATAAGTTCTTCATCTGTGAAAATACACTCAAAGCATGTCAAGTGTCCATGACTATTTATCATATCGCAACCTCCATAGGTATTTGCATTTCAGTATCCCCTACATTTTTTGAAGAGCATAAAACATATATAAAAACGGATGAAATAAGACTTTAAATAATAATTATTCATGAAAACCGAAGGTGGTAGTATATGGTCTTTCATGTTGATACTTTATTTGATAATAATTGGTAGTACAAAGGCTTTAAATAATGTATTGACAAACTTTATATAGCTTGGGGATTGAACAGCTGATATACGATTTGTAATGCTTTGGTGTCTGGGGTACTGTAAACAGCCTTAAGAAGTAGCATTGCAGAAGGGAAGAGGGCAACATACACGGTTCTAATGCCAAGCGCAGGTGGACTGCACCACACACTAACATGTACACAAGACAAATTTACAGACACAATACGCACATATCAGATCAATTGAATGGATCCGGCGGCTAACCGTAAGCGTCCACTGCGTTTTACAGTGATATAGACTATCCTTCCGACCCCTTATATCATTTCAATTAAAGTTACTGTGTCTGATTTGTATTTTTCGGAAAATATCAAATTGATCAAGGTTTAATCAACGCTAATGTACTCAGATTGTTATCTGAACAGTTAATGAAGAAAACAAAATCAAATAACCAACGTTAAATAATCGCCCGGGTTGCATTCAATCGGATTTAAAACAAGAGAAGGTGTCGCTCTTTTGTGTCACCCTGCACGTTTCAAGTCAGTAGCTTGAAGCGTATATATGGTATTAGTGTCAGTGGCTTGTGGCACGAAGTAACAGTATATTGTCGCATACATAATATATTATGTCAACGCTTGGGCGACATAATATATTGTGTTGACGCTCCAAGCGTGTTAGCATATTAGACCTGTAGACTCAGTGGAATGTACGCGTCATCAGAGCGGATCCAGGAGTTGGACCATGGGGACCGGTCCACCCCCTTAACAATAGAAAGTGTCCCTGTAAATAAAAGAGGGCATCCTTATCAGAAAAAGGGCACCTGTGATGTCAGAATTTCAAAAAAGGGCACTTTTCTTTCGGATTAGGGTTAGGGTTAGGGTTAGGGTTAGGACACAGAAAAGAGAGAAAAAACAGAAAAGAAAAAAACAATCGAAACTTACCGATTCCATGATGGAAAATACCGCCAAAATATGTCTCCAAAGCATTCATTGGTTATCAAAGCGCCAATTAAATCTATCGTTGCAAGTTCATGCCTAGTCACCTCCATCCTAGTTCCAAGCGTTGACATAATATATTATATCGCCCAAGCGTTGACATAATATATTATGTATGCGACAATATACTGTTACTTCGTGCCACAGGCCACTGACACTAATACCATATATACGCTTCAAGCTACTGACTTGAAACGTATCGCCTGTTTGTGTTTCGTGTGACATCTGCGCTAAGCACAATGTTGAAAACGGAATGGTTACTTTACCGCCCCTTCACCAGTATAACGTGTTTTGGGGCTTACACATTGGGGCATGTCGTATTACATGATATTCATTTGGCTAAACATGACCCAGTAAACTTTTAATATACCTGTAGGAAATTTGTATTTTATAGCTGTGAAAAACGACTATCCCCCCGACCCTTTATATTATAATCTATATCCTAGGGTTAGTGAATTAATTATTTCGTTTAAACGGATTATTTATTTCGATTAATCGTATTAATTAATTGAATTTGAAGAAAAGAAATAATATGTTAAAAAAACAATCGTGGTCTCTATCGTTATCGATATGTGGTCGGACTTGAGGCGGTATCCCCGAAACTGCGACACAAACTAGGTAACTTTTGGATTAACACATGGTTCAATTTTATTCAATAATTCGTTTGTGCGTAGGGTATTTAGCAGTGGAGGGACACGGTTGAACAATCTACCCTGCTCCTTTTCACGTCAATTGAAACAGCTCCATTTGACTCAATGACAGATCTCGTGTTCACTAGGTTTTCGTAATAGAGACCATGTGAGAGGTGGGACTCTATGAAGCATTGGTGACATAAAGGGGTGAACCGGGTTCCTCCTCCCCCCTGTTCTGAAAACCTTATGAACACGAATGAGGATACACTTTAAATCATTTCTTTTCTTCATATATTGGTTCGAAGCATTGGGGTTAGTAAGAGAACGAACACTGTCGTTTCTGCTACCTTCCGATCCAGAGACCCAATCCCTCAACATTATCCCATTACGAAAACATTGTGAACCCGATAGAAGCAATAGTTTTTAACAAATGTTTGGGGTATTAACCATTGGGTTCATAAGCGTATGCATGAGTCACGGTGGCTAAGTGGGTACGACGCTCGCTCGCTAACCTGGAGGACGCGGGTTCGTTCCCGGTGCTAGCCGAGAAAGTACATCTGGATTTTGCGGCGTGATTTCCAGTAAACACTTTGGCGTGCACGTAAAAGATCCATTGATAGTTGCAATTTGATATAAGAGTAGGCTGCAGCGCACTGTCCGGGTAAAATTTTCATCATAACACACTGTATAGGCTATGCCTGGCTTCAATACCCCAGACAAAGCAGAAGAGTAGGACGTTAAACTCTTTTTCATTTCATTTCATAAGAGGATGAACCCCATCAATTTTTCAGTTTTCTGTGTTGGTTGTCTAGTGGTGCGCGTGAAACCATGAGGTCTATCATCGAGTCAAGTGGTGTTGTTTCGATTGACAGCTTGTACGTGACAAAGAGTATGGTTGCCTGTCCAACATCGTGGGTCTTCACTGGGTCCTCCCGTTTCCTCCCACTGCTAAATACCCCCACGCGAAAGCGAAGTATTGATATAAAACTGAACCATGTGTTAGTCCCGAAATGACCTAGTTTTTTTGAGGAAGTTCTAGGGTTACCAAATTGGGTGTTTAAGTGTACACGGGACCACGGTTGTTGGTCCAATCCAAACTTGACAGCTCTCCATATCTAGCCCTCTGTCCTGCATCATTGACAAAAACCAGATAATCTTTCTTGACAGCTTTCATTGTCTGGCCCTCCGCCCTGCATCACTGACAAAAAAACAGATGAACTTTCTCGGCCAGCAACGGGAGCTAACCCGCGACCCCAAAGCTAGCGAGGTAGCGTCTTAGTCTTACCTACGTGAGCTCTTAAGTACCCCTAAACATATGTTAAAATAAAAACTATTGCTTCTATCGGGTTCACAATGTTTTCGTAATGGGGATAATGTTGGGGAACAGGATCTCTGGATCAGAAACTCCAATGCCTCACACCAATATATGAAGAAAAGGACTGATTTAAAGTGTATCCTCATTCGTGTTCATAAGGTTTTCAGAATAGGCAGAAGAGGAACACGGGAACCCAGTTCATAGCTGTGGAAAACGAGTGTCCTTCCGGCCCTTTATATACTATTCAAAAAAAGTAGGGGATATTTGATTTTTAAGTGTTATTAAAGTCACCTAATGAAACTGACGAAGAAACAAATGACAAAATGAAATGAAGTTCACATTCATCGATTTATTCCAAATGATCGTTAGACTAAGTAAGGCACAGACTGACCATTATAAGGGTAAAATGATACCCGGGGTCAAACAGCAAAGTTACCACAGCATCACAACCAAGTCAGTAACGGGTAAATCCTCCTCTGTTTGCCAAACAAGCATTGATCCGACGTGGCATACTCCTAATGAGACGTCTAAGGTCATTTTGGTCCAGATTGTCCCATTCCTGTTGCAACGCAGCAGCAAGTTCTTGGACATTGGCAGGACGTTGTTGACGTTGACGTAACCTCTGTCCAAGCATGTCCCAGACATGCTCGATGGGGGAGAGGTCGGGACTCAGTGCTGGCCAAGGTAATGTGGTGATGTTCTGTTGTTGGAGGTAACCTGTAACGATCCTGGCCCTGTGACATCTTGCGTTGTCATCCTGGAAGATGAAACGGCGGCCATGACGTCGTGCGAAGGGCACAACATGGACTGCCAAGATGTTGTCCCGGTAGTACTGGCCTGTAACACGCCCTGCAACAACATGTAAAGCCGTTCTTCCAGCAACAGTGATGCCTCCCCACACCATAACAGAACCACCCCCAAATCGATCATGTCTGATGACGTTAACGTCTTGGAAGCGCTCGTTTCGACGACGCCACACCCTCCTACGTCTGTCCAAAAAATCAACAGTGAACCTTGACTCATTTGAAAACATCACATTGCTCCAGCGTCGATTATCCCAGTGTTGACGATCCCTACACCAACGACGTCTTGCCTGAATGTGATGATCTCTCAAACAAGGGATCACGCGAGGACGTCGGGCGCGAAGGTGACCCCTATGCAGTCGATTCCGAATCGTCTGGCCACTCACTCTCACACCAGTGTCTGTTTGAAGACGAGCGCTGATCTGATTTGCTGTGATGACACGATTTCTCAAGGCCAAGGTACGGATAAATCGATCCTGGGCTTGAGTTGTCGCCCTTGGTCGACCTGAGCGTGGTCTGTCCTGTACAGATTGTGTATCACGGTATCTGGACCATAGCCTGCTTATGACAGACTGAGAAACATTCATCGTCCGCGCCACAACCGCCTGTGTTGTGTCGATCTGTAGCATGCCAAGGGCACGTAACCTTTCATTTTGGGTAAGCCGACGCATATCAAAATTTGTTTTCTGGTCACTAAAACAATTAAACTGATGTTTCCACCCTGGAATTCAATGCCACAATGACTGTAACATTTAAAGTCAGAGTCGTGCAAATCTTGGGTTGGACCCCCATGATGATCCGAAGCATCACCTGCATTCCATGCGGTAGCTATTGGTGCGTTTGGGCGTCACATGTAACTGGAAATGTTTCTTCTGTTAGGTTCTATAGTGACTTTTTTCGTAGTCATTTGCATATTTTAGTATTATGCCCCCAAAATCAAATATCCCCTACTTTTTTTGAATAGTATATTATAATCTATACCCTCTTTAATTCTAGTGACTGTCTGTGAACCTAATCCTTGTGAAAATGGTGGTACCTGTTCACCAACTGACAACAGTTACAGCTGTAATTGTTCTACTGGATATCTGGGTCAACTCTGTGACGGTGAGCTACATTTTTAGTTATGGTGACCCACAATAACCTTTAGATGTGTACCCGTAACATTCTTGTCTTATAATTGGGTACCATTCTAAGATTCCCTACGTTATAAAATAAAATAAAACCAAGTAGGAACAATAAAATAAAGCCAAGTACGAACAATCAAAACCATCAGACAATATTCAAAGTCCTAAAGAACGGTATCTACCAAATCAGCAAATAGTCGTTAAGTAAGGTGACTGGGGGTGGGGGGGGGGTCATAAAGATCTGTGGACAGACGGCTAAATTCTAAAGTTATTGTTTCTTCAATTCATTAAATATATTAAAATAATACCAAATACAAACGTTTAGAGAAATATATTAAATTAATTAATATCAATAGGCTGATATTTATGAAATGACATATATAGATTTTTAGATTATATTATATACTCAGCCAAATTAAAAACTTGACACTGATGAATTTCAACAAAATTTTTTTTCTGTTAAGTCAAATAAATTTTAAAGCGTTTCTAACGATAGTAAGTAGTAAGAAGCCTTTAATTTCATAAAATTGTAAAGTCACGTAGATCACGTGACTTTTGAGCATATAAAGATGAAAAACCTGAAAAACACGTGCAAACACAAACTCGTGAGGTCAATCGATGCAAGTTTGCTTAAACTGAACACGCACACGTAACTTGAACTGGAAAAAGAAATTAGAATTGTTATTTTCATCTTTGTTAGAAAATGCCTTGCCTTTCAAATGTAGAACGTCTACGTGCTGAAGGTAGGCTCTATGCTGGCCAGTCTGTGGTCACTGTTGCGAGAGCCTTTAATTGTTCACGCCAGAGAATAATTAATCTTAGAATGAGAGTGCTTCAAACTGGAACTATTGCCGACAGCCCAAGGGCGGGAGCGCCACGTGTGACGTCACTCCAGGAAGATCAAGCAATACGATTACGTCATCTTAGAAACACATTTGTCACTGCAACCTCCACAAGTAGAGAGATGTTTGGTGGAAGGGTAACTGCACAAACTGTTCGAAATCGCTTGCAGGCTGCTGGTCTTCGAGCTCGGAGGCCCTATAATGGACCAATATTGACACCTCTTCATCGCCGTAACCGACTTGTGTGGGCCACAAGACACATAAGATTTACTCAAAGACAGTGGAATTCGGTTGTCTTTAGTGACGAATCTCGATTTACTTTGAGATTTGCCGATGGCAGGGTCCGAGTGTACTGCAGACGAACTGAACGTTACGCTCAAGTATGCGTCAGAGAAGTTGACCGATCTGGTGGCGGCAGCGTCATGGTTTGGGGTTCTTTTTGTGCACATGGACGTTCTCCTCTTGTTGTTGTCCAATTCAACTTAAATGCTGTCCAGTACAGGGATCAGATTTTGCAACCTGTTCTTCTTCCGTTTATGCAGAGACATGGGCCTGGACTAACGTTTCAACAAGACAATGCTCGACCCCATACAGCAATTGCTACCCATAATTTTGTAAGAAATGCCGGTGTCCAAGTCCTGGATTGGCCGTCGCTTAGCCCCGACCTTAATCCTATTGAACACATCTGGGAGGAACTGGGTCGACGTGTTCGTCAGCAAGTAAATCCACCACTGACGTTGCAGAACCTTTAACATGCTCTTGCTGAGCAGTGGCGACGCCTTCCTCGGGTAGTGTTTACTAATGTTCTGAGATCCACGAGAAGACGTTGTGTGGCAGTACGAGACGCTAGAGGAGGCCACAACCGTTAATAAACACTTTATTCCGATTGTTCTCCAAGTATGTGAATTTCATTTCGGGGGGGGGGGGGGTACTGTGACATCACGAACGTTATCAATGTCAAGGACTTTCGGCGAGACGTATTCTTGCTTTCTGTTGATGTCAAGGTCATCTGTGCACAACATAACACTAAAATAGTTGCATATTAAAAATCTAGTCCTAAAAATCCCGAGTGTCAAGTTTTTAATTTGGCTGAATATATTTTATAGCTGTGGGAAACGACTGTCCTCCCGGCCCTTTATATTATAATATATATCCTCTTTAATTCTAGTGGCTGTCTGTGAACCTAATCCTTGTGAAAATGGTGGTACCTGTTCACCAATTGACAACAGTTACAGCTGTAATTGTTCTACTGGATATATGGGTAAACTCTGTGACGGTGAGCTACATTTTAGTTATATAGGGTGACCATGGATAACCTTTAGATGTGTACCCGTATCATTCTTGTCTTATAATTGGGTACCATTCTAAGATGGCGTATAAGGTACATTACTAAACACGTAGTACAGGTTGTAATAGTGATCGTTTTTAAGCCAAGTCATAAGGCGGGTCGCGATGGCTAAGTCGGTAAGACGCTGGCTCGCTAGTCTGGAGGTCTGGTGTTCGATTCCTGAATTGGCCGAGAAATTCCATCCAGATTTTCCGGCATGGTTCCACCTTGTCCCATGTACACATTGGCGTGCACGTAATTAGTTACAGTGATCATCAGTATGTGTTTATATCCATATATAACGTCCAGCTATATTTATAACCATTACCAAATGATTTGATAATATTAATTACCTACGTTATAAAATAAAATAAAACCAAGTACGAACAATCAAAACCATAAGACAATATTCAAAGTCCTAAAGAACGGTATCTGCGAAATAGTGTAATCAGCAAATAGTCGTTAAGTTAGTTGACTGGGGGGTTTCATAAAGATCTGTGGACAGCGAAATTCTAAAGTTATTATTTCTTCAATTTATTAAATATATTAAAATAATATATAATACAAATGTTTAGAGAAATATATTAAATTAATTAATATCTAAAGATTGATATTTATTAATAAATAAAATAAAACCAAGTACGAACAATCCAAACCATTAGACAAAATTCGAAGTCCTAAAAAAACGGTATAGGCAAAATAGTGTAATAAGGCAAAATAGTGTAATCAGCATATGGACTGTTCACCGTGTACAAAATACACGACAAACAGTGGTAACAGGTGTCCGGAAGAGTAAGCTTACCCTGCCTGGCGCCACACCCGCCATAGCTGCATCCAAACTATTAGGCGAAATCTCGGTAAAATAGCGTGATTGGCCAATAGACTATCGGTATGCAAAATGCACATATAGATTTTTAGATTATATTATATATAATTTACACATGCACAACTTGCTAATGAAATATAATAATACAAAACAATACAAACCTGACTGTGTAAATGCACTGCTATTTTTATTATAGGTAATCAGTTTATATTAATAACAGGCTATTGCCTACACATGAACATAAACAGTTTATATGGGCGGCTTATCTGATGGCCCCATTTCACTCCCAAAGAGATAAACTGTCAAAAGTGAAAATGGACGTTTTTTGATTTCTGTCTTAATAATGAGTAATTGCTCCACCAATCCTTCCTTGAAGTGTCAAATTTGACAATGAACCCGTCCCACGTGTATGGCGGTTCTGTTGGGGCGATAAGTTCTTCATCTGTGAAAATACACTCAAAGCATGTCAAGTGTCCATGACTATTTATCATATCGCAACCTCCATAGGTATTTGCATTTCAGTATCCCCTACATTTTTTGAAGAGCATAAAACATATATAAAAACGGATGAAATAAGACTTTAAATAATAATTATTCATGAAAACCGAAGGTGGTAGTATATGGTCTTTATTTGATAATAATTGGTAGTACAAAGGCTTTGAATAATGTATTGACAAACTTTATATAGCTTGGGGATTGAACAGCTGATATACGATTTGTAATGCTGTGGTGTCTGGGGTACTGTAAACAGCCTTAAGAAGTAGCATTGCAGAAGGGAAGAGTATAAAACATATATAAAAACGGATGAAATAAGACTTTAAATACTACAAAGGCTTTGAATAATGTATTGACAAACTTTATATAGCTTGGGGATTGAACAGCTGATATACGATTTGTAATGCTGTGGTGTCTGGGGTACTGTAAACAGCCTTAAGAAGTAGCATTGCAGAAGGGAAGAGGGCAACATGCACGGTTCTAATGCTAAGCGCAGGTGGACTGCACCACACACTAACATGTACACAAGACAAATTTACAGACACAATACCCACATATCAGATCAATTGAATGGATCCGGCGGCTAACCGTAAGCGTCCACTGCGTTTTACAGTGATATAGACTATCCTTCCGACCCCTTATATCATTTCAATTAAAGTTACTGTGTCTGATTTGTATTTTTCGGAAAATATCAAATTAATCAAGGTTTAATCAACGCTAATGTACTCAGATTGTTATCTGAACAGTTAATGAAGAAAACAAAATCAAATAACCAACGTTAAATAATCGCCCGGGTTGCATTCAATCGGATTTAAAACAAGAGAAGGTGTCGCTCTTTTGTGTTTCGTGTGACGTGTGCCATCTGCGCTAAGCACAATGTTGAAAACGGAATGGTTACTTTACCGCCCCTTCACCAGTATAACGTGTTTTGGGGCTTACACATTGGGGCATGTCGTATTACATGATATTCATTTGGCTAAACATGACCCAGTAAACTTTTAATATACCTGTAGGAAATTTGTATTTTATAGCTGTGAAAAACAACTATCCTCCCGACCCTTTATATTATAATCTATATCCTAGGGTTAGTGAATTAATTATTTCGTTTAAACGGATTAATTATTTCGATTAATCGTATTAATTAATTGAATTTGAAGAAAAGAAATAATATGTTAAAAAAACAATCGTGGTCTCTATCGTTATCGATATGTGGTCGGACTTGAGGCGGTATCCCAGAAACTGCGACACAAACTAGGTAACTTTTGGATTAACACATGGTTCAATTTTATTCAATAATTCGTTTGTGCGTAGGGTATTTAGCAGTGTAGGGAAACGGTTGAACAATCTACCCTGCTCCTTTTCACGTCAATTGAAACAGCTCCATTTGACTCAATGACAGATCTCGTGTTCACTAGGTTTTCGTAATAGAGACCATGTGAGAGGTGGGACTCTATGAAGCATTGGTGACATAAAGGGATGAACCGGGTTCCTCCTCCCCCCTGTTCTGAAAACCTTATGAACACGAATGAGGATACACTTTAAATCATTTCTTTTCTTCATATATTGGTTCGAAGCATTGGGGTTAGTAAGAGAACGAACACGGTCGTTTCTGCTACCTTCCGATCCAGAGACCCAATCCCTCAACATTATCCCATTACGAAAACATTGTGAACCCGACAGAAGCAATAGTTTTTAACAAATGTTTGGGGTATTAACCATTGGGTTCATAAGCGTATGCATGAGTCACGGTGGCTAAGTGGGTACGACGCTCGCCCGCTAGCCTGGAGGTCGCGGGTTCGTTCCCGGTGCTAGCCGAGAAAGTACATCTGGATTTTGCGGCGTGATTTCCAGTAAACACTTTGGCGTGCACGTAAAAGATCCATTGACAGTTGCAATGTGATATAAGAGTAGGCTGCAGCGCACTGTCCGGCTAAAATTTTCATCATAGCACACTGTAAAGCCTATGCCTGGCTTCAATACCCCAGACAAAGCAGAAGAGTAGGACGTTAAACTCTATTTCATTTCATTTCATAAGAGGATGAACCCATCAATTTTTCAGTTTTCTGTGTTGGTTGTCTAGTGGTGCGCGTGAAACCATGAGGTCTGTCATCGAGTCAAGTGGTGTTGTTTCGATTGACAGCTTGTACGTGACAAAGAGTATGGTTGCCTGTCCAACATCGTGGGTCTTCACTGGGTCCTCCCGTTTCCTCCCACTACTAAATACCCCCACGCGAAAGCGAAGTATTGATATAAAACTGAACCATGTGTAAGTCCCGAAATGACCTAGTTTTTTTGAGGATGTTCTAGGGTTACCAAATTGGGTGTTTGGGTGTACACGGGACCACGGTTGTTCGTCCAATCCAAACTTGACAGCTCTCCTTATCTAGCCCTCTGTCCTGCATCATTGACAAAAACCAGATAATCTTTCTTGACAGCTTTCATTGTCTGGCCCTCCGCCCTGCAACGGTATCTACCAAATCAGCAAATAGTCGTTAAGTAAGGTGACTGGGGGTGGGGGGGGGGGGGTCATAAAGATCTGTGGACAGACGGCTAAATTCTAAAGTTATTGTTTCTTCAATTCATTAAATATATTAAAATAATACCAAATACAAACGTTTAGAGAAATATATTAAATTAATTAATATCAATAGATTGATATTTATGAAATGACATATATAGATTTTTAGATTATATTATATACTCAGCCAAATTAAAAACTTGACACTGATGAATTTCAACAAATTTTTTTTTCTGTTAAGTCAAATAAATTTTAAAGTGTTTCTAACGATAGTAAGTAGTAAGAAGCCTTTAATTTCATAAAATTGTAAAGTCACGTAGATCACGTGACTTTTGAGCATATAAAGATGAAAAACCTGAAAAACACGTGCAAACACAAACTCGTGAGGTCAATCGATGCAAGTTTGCTTAAACTGAACACGCACACGTAACTTGAACTGGAAAAAGAAATTAGAATTGTTATATTCATCTTTGTTAGAAAATGCCTCGCCTTTCAAATGTAGAACGTCTACGTGCTGAAGGTAGGCTCTATGTTGGCCAGTCTGTGGTCACTGTTGCGAGAGCCTTTAATTGTTCACGTCAGAGAATAATTAATCTTAGAATGAGAGTGCTTCAAACTGCAACTATTGCCGACAGCCCAAGGGCGGGAGCGCCACGTGTGACGTCACTCCAGGAAGATCAAGCAATACGATTACGTCATCTTAGAAACACATTTGTCACTGCAACCTCCACAAGTAGAGAGATGTTTGGTGGAAGGGTAACTGCACAAACTGTTCGAAATCGCTTGCAGGCTGCTGGTCTTCGAGCTCGGAGGCCCTATAATGGACCAATATTGACACCTCTTCATCGCCGTAACCGACTTGTGTGGGCCACAAGACACATAAGATTTACTCAAAGACTGTGGAATTCGGTTGTCTTTAGTGACGAATCTCGATTTACTTTGAGATTTGCCGATGGCAGGGTCCGAGTGTACCGCAGACGAACTGAACGTTACGCTCAAGTATGCGTCAGAGAAGTTGACCGATCTGGTGGCGGCAGCGTCATGGTTTGGGGTTCTTTTTGTGCACATGGACGTTCTCCTCTTGTTGTTGTCCAATTCAACTTAAATGCTGTCCAGTACAGGGATCAGATTTTGCAACCTGTTCTTCTTCCGTTTATGCAGAGACATGGGCCTGGACTAACGTTTCAACAAGACAATGCTCGACCCCATACAGCAATTGCTACCCATAATTTTTTAAGAAATGCCGGTGTCCAAGTCCTGGATTGGCCGTCGCTTAGCCCCGACCTTAATCCTATTGAACACATCTGGGACGAACTGGGTCGACGTGTTCGTCAGCAAGTGAGTCCACCACTGACGTTGCAGGACCTTTAACATGCTCTTGCTAAGCAGTGGCGACGTCTTCCTCGGGTAGTGTTTACTAATGTTCTGAGATCCACGAGAAGACGTTGTGTGGCAGTACGAGACGCTAGAGGAGGCCACAACCGTTAATAAACACTTTATTCCGATTGTTCTCCAAGTCTGTGAATTTCATTTCGGGGGGTACTGTGACATCACGAACGTTATCAATGTCAAGGACTTTCGGCGAGACGTATTCTTGCTTTCTGTTGATGTCAAGGTCATCTGTGCACAACATAACACTAAAATAGTTGCATATTAAAAATCTAGTCCCAAAAATCCCGAATGTCAAGTTTTTAATTTGGCTGAATATATTTTATAGCTGTGGGAAACGACTGTCCTCCCGGCCCTTTATATTATAATATATATATCCTCTTTAATTCTAGTGGCTGTCTGTGAACCTAATCCTTGTGAAAATGGTGGTACCTGTTCACCAACTGACAACAGTTACAGCTGTAATTGTTCTACTGGATATCTGGGTCAACTCTGTGACGGTGAGCTACATTTTTAGTTATGGTGACCCACAATAACCTTTAGATGTGTACCCGTAACATTCTTGTCTTATAATTGGGTACCATTCTAAGATTCCCTACGTTATAAAATAAAATAAAACCAAGTAGGAACAATAAAATAAAGCCAAGTACGAACAATCAAAACCATCAGACAATATTCAAAGTCCTAAAGAACGGTATCTACCAAATCAGCAAATAGTCGTTAAGTAAGGTGACTGGGGGTGGGGGGGATAATAAAGATCTGTGGACAGACGGCTAAATTCTAAAGTTATTGTTTCTTCAATTCATTAAATATATTAAAATAATACCAAATACAAACGTTTAGAGAAATATATTAAATTAATTAATATCAATAGATTGATATTTATGAAATGACATATATAGATTTTTAGATTATATTATATACTCAGCCAAATTAAAAACTTGACACTGATGAATTTCAACAAATTTTTTTTTCTGTTAAGTCAAATAAATTTTAAAGTGTTTCTAACGATAGTAAGTAGTAAGAAGCCTTTAATTTCATAAAATTGTAAAGTCACGTAGATCACGTGACTTTTGAGCATATAAAGATGAAAAACCTGAAAAACACGTGCAAACACAAACTCGTGAGGTCAATCGATGCAAGTTTGCTTAAACTGAACACGCACACGTAACTTGAACTGGAAAAAGAAATTAGAATTGTTATATTCATCTTTGTTAGAAAATGCCTCGCCTTTCAAATGTAGAACGTCTACGTGCTGAAGGTAGGCTCTATGCTGGCCAGTCTGTGGTCACTGTTGCGAGAGCCTTTAATTGTTCACGTCAGAGAATAATTAATCTTAGAATGAGAGTGCTTCAAACTGCAACTATTGCCGACAGCCCAAGGGCGGGAGCGCCACGTGTGACGTCACTCCAGGAAGATCAAGCAATACGATTACGTCATCTTAGAAACACATTTGTCACTGCAACCTCCACAAGTAGAGAGATGTTTGGTGGAAGGGTAACTGCACAAACTGTTCGAAATCGCTTGCAGGCTGCTGGTCTTCGAGCTCGGAGGCCCTATAATGGACCAATATTGACACCTCTTCATCGCCGTAACCGACTTGTGTGGGCCACAAGACACATAAGATTTACTCAAAGACTGTGGAATTCGGTTGTCTTTAGTGATGAATCTCGATTTACTTTGAGATTTGCCGATGGCAGGGTCCGAGTGTACCGCAGACGAATTGAACGTTACGCTCAAGTATGCGTCAGAGAAGTTGACCGATCTGGTGGCGGCAGCGTCATGGTTTGGGGTTCTTTTTGTGCACATGGACGTTCTCCTCTTGTTGTTGTCCAATTCAACTTAAATGCTGTCCAGTACAGGGATCAGATTTTGCAACCTGTTCTTCTTCCGTTTATGCAGAGACATGGGCCTGGACTAACGTTTCAACAAGACAATGCTCGACCCCATACAGCAATTGCTACCCATAATTTTTTAAGAAATGCCGGTGTCCAAGTCCTGGATTGGCCGTCGCTTAGCCCCGACCTTAATCCTATTGAACACATCTGGGACGAACTGGGTCGACGTGTTCGTCAGCAAGTGAGTCCACCACTGACGTTGCAGGACCTTTAACATGCTCTTGCTAAGCAGTGGCGACGTCTTCCTCGGGTAGTGTTTACTAATGTTCTGAGATCCACGAGAAGACGTTGTGTGGCAGTACGAGACGCTAGAGGAGGCCACAACCGTTAATAAACACTTTATTCCGATTGTTCTCCAAGTCTGTGAATTTCATTTCGGGGGGTACTGTGACATCACGAACGTTATCAATGTCAAGGACTTTCGGCGAGACGTATTCTTGCTTTCTGTTGATGTCAAGGTCATCTGTGCACAACATAACACTAAAATAGTTGCATATTAAAAATCTAGTCCCAAAAATCCCGAGTGTCAAGTTTTTAATTTGGCTGAATATATTTTATAGCTGTGGGAAACGACTGTCCTCCCGGCCCTTTATATTATAATATATATCCTCTTTAATTCTAGTGGCTGTCTGTGAACCTAATCCTTGTGAAAATGGTGGTACCTGTTCACCAATTGACAACAGTTACAGCTGTAATTGTTCTACTGGATATATGGGTAAACTCTGTGACGGTGAGCTACATTTTAGTTATATAGGGTGACCATGGATAACCTTTAGATGTGTACCCGTATCATTCTTGTCTTATAATTGGGTACCATTCTAAGATGGCGTATAAGGTACATTACTAAACACGTAGTACAGGTTGTAATAGTGATCGTTTCTAAGCCAAGTCATAAGGCGGGTCGCGATGGCTAAGTCGGTAGTCTGGAGGTCTGGTGTTCGATTTCTGAATTGGCCGAGAAATTCCATCCAGATTTTCCGGCATTGTTCCACCTTGTCCCATGTACACATTGGCGTGCACGTAATTCGTTACAGTGATCATCAGTATGTGTTTATATCCATATATAACGTCCAGCTATATTTATAACCATTACCAAATGATTTGATAATATTAATTACCTACGTTATAAAATAAAATAAAACCAAGTTCGAACAATCAAAACCATAAGACAATATCCAAAGTCCTAAAGAACGGTATCTGCGAAATAGTTTAATTAGCAAATAGTCGTTAAGTTAGGTGACTGGGGGGTTTCATAAAGATCTGTGGACAGCGAAATTCTAAAGTTATTATTTCTTCAATTTATTAAATATATACTATTCAAAAAAAGTAGGGGATATTTGATTTTGGGGGCATAATACTAAAATATGCAAATGACTACGAAAAAAGTCACTATAGAACCTAACAGAAGAAACATTTCCAGTTACATGTGACGCCCAAACGCACCAATAGCTACCGCATGGAATGCAGGTGATGCTTGGGATCATCATGGGGGTCCAACCCAAGATTTGCACGACTCTGACTTTGAATGTTACAGTCATTGTGGCATTGAATTCCAGGGTGGAAACATCAGTTTAATTGTTTTAGTGACCAGAAAACAAATTTTGATATGCGTCGGCTTACCCAAAATGAAAGGTTACGTGCCCTTGGCATGCTACAGATCGGCACAACACAGGCGGTTGTGGCGCGGACGATGAATGTTTCTCAGTCTGTCATAAGCAGGCTATGGTCCAGATACCGTGATACACAATCTGTACAGGACAGACCACGCTCAGGTCGAACAAGGGCGACAACTCAAGCCCAGGATCGATTTATCCGTACCTTGGCCTTGAGAAATCGTGTCATCACAGCAAATCAGATCAGCGCTCGTCTTCCAACAGACACTGGTATGAGAGTGAGTGGCCAGACTATTCGGAATCGACTGCATAGGGGTCACCTTCGCGCCCGACGTCCTCGCGTGATCCCTTGTTTGAGAGATCATCACATTCAGGCAAGACGTCGTTGGTGTAGGGATCGTCAACACTGGGATAATCGACGCTGGAGCAATGTGATGTTTTCAGATGAGTCAAGGTTCACTGTTGATTTTTTGGACAGACGTAGGAGGGTGTGGCGTCGTCGAAACGAGCGCTTCCAAGACGTTAACGTCATCAGACATGCTCGATTTGGGGGTGGTTCTGTTATGGTGTGGGGAGGCATCACTGTTGCTGGAAGAACGGCTTTACATGTTGTTGCAGGGCGTGTTACAGGCCAGTACTACCGGGACAACATCTTGGCAGTCCATGTTGTGCCGTTTGCACGACGTCATGGCCGCCGTTTCATCTTCCAGGATGACAACGCAAGATGTCACAGGGCCAGGATCGTTACAGGTTACCTCCAACAACAGAACATCACCACATTACCTTGGCCAGCACTGAGTCCCGACCTCTCCCCCATCGAGCATGTCTGGGACATGCTTGGACAGAGGTTACGTCAACGTCAACAACGTCCTGCCAATGTCCAAGAACTTGCTGCTGCGTTGCAACAGGAATGGGACAATCTGGACCAAAATGACCTTAGACGTCTCATTAGGAGTATGCCACGTCGGATCAATGCTTGTTTGGCAAACAGAGGAGGATTTACCCGTTACTGACTTGGTTGTGATGCTGTGGTAACTTTGCTGTTTGACCCCGGGTATCATTTTACCCTTATAATGGTCAGTCTGTGCCTTACTTAGTCTAACGATCATTTGGAATAAATCGATGAATGTGAACTTCATTTCATTTTGTCATTTGTTTCTTCGTCAGTTTCATTAGGTGACTTTAATAACACTTAAAAATCAAATATCCCCTACTTTTTTTGAATAGTATATTAAAATAATATATAATACAAATGTTTAGAGAAATATATTAAATTAATTAATATCTAAAGATTGATATTTATTAATAAATAAAATAAAACCAAGTACGAACAATCCTAAAAAAACGGTATAGGCAAAATAGTGTAATAAGGCAAAATAGTGTAATCAGCATATGGACTGTTCACCGTGTACAAAATACACGACAAACAGTGGTAACAGGTGTCCGGAAGAGTAAGCTTACCCTGCCTGGCGCCACACCCGCCATAGCTGCATCCAAACTATTAGGCGAAATCTCGGTAAAATAGCGTGATTGGCCAATAGACTATCGGTATGCAAAATGCACATATAGATTTTTAGATTATATTATATATAATTTACACATGCACAACTTGCTAATGAAATATAATAATACAAAACAATACAAACCTGACTGTGTAAATGCACTGCTATTTTTATTATAGGTAATCAGTTTATATTAATAACAGGCTATTGCCTACACATGAACATAAACAATTCATATGGGCGGCTTATCTGATGGCCCCATTTCACTCCCAAAGAGATAAACTGTCAAAAGTGAAAATGGACGTTTTTTGATTTCTGTCTTAATAATGAGTAATTGCTCCACCAATCCTTCCTTGAAGTGTCAAATTTGACAATGAACCCCTCCCACGTGTATGGCGGTTCTGTTGGGGCGATAAGTTCTTCATCTGTGAAAATACACTCAAAGCATGTCAAGTGTCCATGACTATTTATCATATCGCAACCTCCATAGGTATTTGCATTTCAGTATCCCCTACATTTTTTGAAGAGTATAAAACATATACAAAAACGGATGAAATAAGACTTTAAATAATAATTATTCATGAAAACCGAAGGTGGTAGTATATGGTCTTTCATGTTGATACTTTATTTGATAATAATTGGTAGTACAAAGGCTTTGAATAATGTATTGACAAACTTTATATAGCTTGGGGATTGAACAGCTGATATACGATTTGTAATGCTTTGGTGTCTGGAGTACTGTAAACAGCCTTAAGAAGTAGCATTGCAGAAGGGAAGAGGGCAACAAGCACGGTTCTAATGCTAAGCGCAGGTGGACTGCACCACACACTAACATGTATACAAGACAAATTTACAGACACAATACGCACATATCAGATCAATTGAATGGATCCGGCGGCTAACCGTAAGCGTCCACTGCGTTTTACAGTGATATAGACTATCCTTCCGACCCCTTATATCATTTCAATTAAAGTTACTGTGTCTGATTTGTATTTTTCGGAAAATATCAAATTGATCAAGGTTTAATCAACGCTAATGTACTCAGATTGTTATCTGAACAGTTAATGAAGAAAACAAAATCAAATTACCAACGTTCAATAATCGCCCGGGTTGCATTCAATCGGATTTAAAACAAGAGCAGGTGTCGCTCTTTTCTGTTTCGTGTGACGTGTGCCATCTGCGCTAAGCACAATGTTGAAAACGGAATGGTTAGTTTACCGCCCCTTCACCAGTATAACGTGTTTTGGGGATTACACATTGGGGCATGTCGTATTACATGATATTCATTTGGCTAAACATGACCCAGTAAACTTTTAATATACCTGTAGGAAATTTGTATTTTATAGCTGTGGAAAACGACTATCCTCCCGACCCTTTATATTATAATCTATATCCTAGGGTTAGTGAATTAATTATTTCGTTTAAACGGATTAATTATTTCGATTAATCGAATTAATTAATTGAATTTGAAGAAAAGAAATAATATGTTAAAAAAAACAATCGTGGTCTCTATCGTTATCGATATGTGGTCGGACTTGAGGCGGTATCCCTGAAACTGCAACACAAACTAGGTAACTTTTGGATTAACACATAGTTCAATTTTATTCAATAATTCGCTTGTGCGCAGGGTATTTAGCAGTGGAGGGAAACGGTTGGACAATCTACCCTGCTCCTTTTCACGTCAATTGAAACAGCTCCATGATGACAGATCTCGTGTTCAATAGGTTTTCGTAATAGAGACCATGTGAGAGGTGGGACTCTATGAAGCATTGGTGACATAAAGGGATGAACCGGGTTCCCGGGTTCCTCCTCCCCCCTGTTCTGAAAACCTTATGAACACGAATGAGGATACACTTTAAATCATTTCTTTTCTTCATATATTGGTTCGAAGCATTGGGGTTAGTAAGAGAACGAACACTGTCGTTTATGCTACCTTCCGATCCAGAGACCCAATCCCTCAACATTATCCCATTACGAAAACATTGTGAACCCGATAGAAGCAATAGTTTTTAACAAATGTTTGGGGTATTAACCATTGGGTTCATAAGCGTATGCATGAGTCACGGTGGCTAAGTGGGTAAGACGCTCGCTCGCTAACCTGGAGGACGCGGGTTCGTTCCCGGTGCTAGCCGAGAAAGTACATCTGGATTTTGCGGCGTGATTTCCAGTAAACACTTTGGCGTGCACGTAAAAGATCCATTGACAGTTGCAATGTGATATAAGAGTAGGCTGCAGCGCACTGTCCGGCTAAAATTTTCATCATAGCACACTGTAAAGCCTATGCCTGGCTTCAATACCCCAGACAAAGCAGAAGAGTAGGACGTTAAACTCTATTTCATTTCATTTCATAAGAGGATGAACCCCATCAATTTTTCAGTTTTCTGTGTTGGTTGTCTAGTGGTGCGCGTGAAACCATGAGGTCTGTCATCGAGTCAAGTGGTGTTGTTTCGATTGACAGCTTGTACGTGACAAAGAGTATGGTTGCCTGTCCAACATCGTGGGTCTTCACTGGGTCCTCCCGTTTCCTCCCACTACTAAATACCCCCACGCGAAAGCGAAGTATTGATATAAAACTGAACCATGTGTAAGTCCCGAAATGACCTAGTTTTTTTGAGGATGTTCTAGGGTTACCAAATTGGGTGTT